TGGATAGTACAGTGTTGCTTAAAATAACAAAAAGCAAACAAAAAACAAAACCTCAGCAAGTTAGAATATACTAGGTAGAGCATATATTCTTGAATCCAGCACAAGCCTCACCATTTTCCATTGTTTTACCCTATCTGATTAATTTTATTACCTGCCTGGTCCAGGTAGGTATTTGAGTTTGGGACCCCTACCTCTGAACCTAGATGAATGATCAAGTTCAAACTATCTCAGCTGCGATTTCTGGTATGAAAGGAAAAGAGGCTAGCTTTTTGGTGGAACTGTGAAGACCAATCCAGTGAAAGATCCTACCCACCAAGTAAGACCAGGAGAATCACTCACATACATTAAAAGTAGGATCTGTTTCCTCAGTGAATAAAATGGAGTGTAAAGGCAAATATTTATCAAGGTTCTATCATATGCCAAGTACTATACTAAGTTCTTTTATATCAGGCCTTTCTATAAAAGAAGATAGTAATTTAAGCAGTCACAGGTGCATGTGTGTAATTAAATTTATAATTTATAAAGTGATTTTATGCATTGTAAACAATACTTTAATTATTAGAGTTGGCACTTTAATGTTTAATGCAATCAAATCAATATCCAATAATATTTACTGAGGATCAATTAGTGTTAGGTAGTGAGGCTTCACTGGAGACTCAGAATAGACCCGGTCCCTTCTTTACATTGTTCATTACTGTGGGTTTCATCACAGCACAGATGATTATCTCTGTCCAGTCTTCTGAGATGTCAGATTTGAGTCACTCCAGGATTAAAGGAAAGCTTTGAAAGAGTCAGAGTTTTTAACTATGGCGACTTTTAACAAATTGCAAATTTAAGATTGATTTGGAACAAGCCACCCTTTCTCCTTCTTTGGATAAAAATCTCAGCCACTAAGTAAATCAATAACAAACATTTCTGCTATTAAACCAGAGCAAGCATTATCTTCCCAGGGCTTCTCATATTGATATTGGCTTAGAGTTTTGAATACCTTGTTAAACTAACTTTAAAAAATAATTTCTTGGTCCTCTCAACAGAAATTGAGCAAAAGCTGGTTTACATTTTCATACTTGCATTTGGTGTGAGTCATGAGAAATGTGGATATTTATTTCTTGAGGAAGGAGGAGAATCTGAATTAACTTTGAATCCCCCTTAGCAGCCTAGCATAGTGCCTCAGGCATATGCAATAAATTTTTGCTGATCCAATGTCCAATTAGCCAGAGATATCTACAGAGAAAGTTTGTCTTCACCTATCTGTCACATAGGAGCTATCCGAGGGAATGCCCTATGTTTTGGAACCTTTGCCCATAAGGAACTACATCATGGAATAAGGAACTAGGTTGTGTTCATACAACACCTCTATTTCCCAGATATGACATCCTGGTAAAATCAGACTGTGGTTAGCTGCCCTGAGCTGCTTTCTTCTTCTACCAGGCCCGATTGATTGTTTTCCCTGTTCACATCTGGCAAACATCACTGGATCTTAGGGCAAGAGAAGATTCCAATTACAACATTTTGATCAGCTCCAGTACTGGAGCAACCAAGATAGAGCGGACACAGGAACAAAAATGATTGAAAGTTTGTGCATCCGATGGCAGGAATCTGGGGTAACCTTAGAATATTAGGAAAGTTCCCACTAGAGGAAAGGGACTCCTCAGGTAGTTGTTACAGAGAAAACAGAAGGACAAAAACAAGAGCAAGTGGGAGAGACGGGGAGACTTTGGTAGAGCTGAAAACCAGGTGGGGAGAGAATTCTGAATTGCAAGTTCAGAGGGAGAGGCTCTTGCCCCATCCGTGAAAAACTGATAGTTTGGCATAACTGTCAATAGTAAGAGGAGCCACGGGAATAAGATTGTGAAATATTTGGGAGCATTTGATATAAAAAGGAGATTTTGAATTGCATATAGAAGCAAATGGAAAATCAAGGCAGTTGTGAGGGGGCTACTGGAGGGCTATTGGAGAGGAAGAAGCTTTACACTATTCTATGAGATATGGATTTGTAGGACACATCTGTAGAAGCTGGACTGAAAGCTGCAGCTAATGAGGTGGGTGGGGCACAGGGCAGCCAGGGAGCTCTGATGTGGCTTTCACCTGGGGCAGAGGATGGGAAGATATGCAAATGCTGAGGCCACAGAGAGCGTAATGGGCGAGGCACCCAACAAGGATGCTGAGTCATCAGAGGCCACACTCAGGTGGGTTTGAAAAGGCACTTGCCTTTGGAACATTGCTCAGAAGTGAACTGGGCTCTCAGAAGTGCTGTAATTTTCTTAGATCATTTGATAGCAGACTCTGTGATGTTTACCAGCCTCACCAAGAGCAGGCTATTGTGAATTTTTTTTCTCTGAAGTAAAACTGGCCCCAGCCAGCCAGGCTGGGAATTTACTGCCTGAGTTGTTTTCCAACATGAGTTTCACTGGCAAAGCCAGATGTGAGTGTTCCCTCCACTCTCAAGGGGCCTGTTTACACTGACTTTATTTTTACTGCCAGCTTTCAAGTGCGAAGAGGGAAATTACATTTAAAGGTCAGCAGGTGAGCAGAACGATCCCTGCCTGCCATTCCTCTGTGTGTGCCTGTGTGCATGCATGCCTCTCTCTGTGTGTACGTGTGTGTGCCTGTGTGCGTGCATGCCTCTCTCTGTGTGTACGTGTGTGTGCCTGTGTGCGTGCATGCCTCTCTCTGTGTGTACGTGTGTGTGCCTGTGTGCGTGCATGCCTCTCTCTGTGTGTACGTGTGTGTGCCTGTGTGCGTGCATGCCTCTCTCTGTGTGTACGTGTGTGTGCCTGTGTGCGTGCATGCCTCTCTCTGTGTGTACGTGTGTGTGCCTGTGTGCGTGCATGCCTCTCTCTGTGTGTACGTGTGTGTGCCTGTGTGCGTGCATGCCTCTCTCTGTGTGTACGTGTGTGTGCCTGT